TGAGAGTGACTCAGCTAATGATCATCTTGTTGAAGAATTCAGCTTGCTCAGGGAAGAATTCCAAAAGCTCATCTTTGGTTACCCACACAAAATCCTCGCAGTTGCTTATGTTGTATTTTGATGCTGCTACTACACTGCATTTGAAGAAGAACCTCTACACAACGGCAAAAAGGAGAGAGACCCAAAAAAAAAACTCATTAACTTCAATACTCCGATGACACCTATTCGATAAATCTCTTGAGCTTTGTTCTTAGTTATTACCTTGTAAGATGGCAAATCAGGCGTTTCTTCTGTAGGTTGTATAGCCATGTGAGCCATTGGAGCATTTCCAACAAAGTATGTGTGAGTAAGGTCTCCTAAGACTGACTTCAAAGCAGATTCTGCGCACTGCAAATACCAAATTCACATACAACAATAAGCATCATGGATGAAATTTCATGGTGTTATGGATCAAAATAGAAACAATCACCTTGCGAAGAGTTGGCTCAGAATCGTACACTTTCTCAGGGAAATGCCAGACAGGTTTGTCACTTGTAGCTCCAAATGGCTTGCCGAAGATGAGAAGATACAACTTTTTGTCTAGAGCTCTATATAATGACCTATAATAGTAGCATATTTCCAAAACTAACTATCAATCGTCAATCGAAGAGAAACACAACAGTGCAAGAAACTTTAAGAGGTGCTATCAACTTACTTCCTATCATTTTTCTTGTCAGCCTCTGTAATTCTAGGAGCAGGTACATAGTCCATTTGGTATTCACCCTTGGCTCTGTATTCAAGCATCAGAAGATCAACCAAAGACAAAATTAGAATTTCATGGAAGAGTCACAAAAAATTTCATTACATAGACTGAACTAGAAATAGTCACAGAACCTTCACCATACATCTACGAGCATATAATAGTTCTAAATTTTCACAACAGGTGCTGCACAGGTTACTCAATAACTCAGATGATCCATTCCAAAGTTGAATGAACAAGAAGCCGTTGAACAGATCATAAGCTTGGCGACATCATGATATTGAAGAAAGCAGAAACATTTACCTGTTCTTAGCAATGTCCAAGAACTCATCTGGGTATCTACGACGAAACTGCTGTTGCCAATTGAATCTGCAACAGATCAACCAATCAAGACAAAATGTTTCCGTAAAGGTGAACCACAGTGTAAAAATCAAAACTTTCACTGCTCAATGACTCAAATCCTATCTAATTCCACCACATCAAAATACAGTTCGAGCTACATAGAAAAAAAGTATCCTTTGAATCACATAACTCTACTTGTCTCCCAACATTATAATGCCAAAGAAAAATACAGAACACAAGCAAAAAAATGAGAGAGCTTTACTTAAACTCCTGGAAAGCGTAAACAGCAGGATCCGGTTTAGGTATGACAACACGCAATCTCTCAAAAAGCACCGAAGCTACGATCTTATCAGAGCTCGTGCAAAACCCTCGCCTGCTCTCCAAGAGAGGCTTAGCTAGTAATCGCAAAGATGATCTCTGCATTTCTCAATCTCAACCCAGAAACGAAATCGGATTTGACTAGTGAGAGAGAGTGAAACGCCGGCGCTTGAGCCTGAGGGTTTTTCGATGATAAATCCCCTACAGGTTAAACCACCGATTCGTCAGAGTGAAGAAAAAGAAATTTTATTGGTTAACATAACCAGACAGCACCATAATCCGGTTTGCTTTAATAAAATTGGATTACAATGGAAAACTAAACCACGTGATCCGGTTTGCTCTGGTACAATTGGATTGCAATATTGCATGGTACACAGGCAAAATCGTGATGTACTGTTATAATAAAACTCGATGTGACTAGTTCCCCAAATCAATATCAATCTACATGGTCTTGCGAGAACAACGCAGACAAAGTCGTGGACTTATTCAGAAGAAAGGTCCGTGACAACATTCTCTAATCAATACTTTTTAAGATTGAGCATTTGTGTTTTTGGTTAAAGTGTAACCCTTAACTTTTATTACAATGGCCCCGATAGAGTTATAAACAAAACAAATGGGTCCAAGTTATTAGCAACAGACAAAATCCCCAAACCTGAGCTTCAATCATCACCGTCTGATTCTCCATAATTACCGATCAGTAATCTTGAACCGTCCAATGAAATGAACAACCGAACAACAAACATGCATAGACAAATTACAAGCTCAGCTTTGGTAAAAACTAAAGTTTCCTAATATGTTTATGAAACTACTGTATAATTCACAAGAGAAATCAATTAATTGATAGCAGTTTCTTAATTCATCATATCTCATTTGGTTGATTACTAGAGATTTAGTTTTTCGTTCGGGTGTTTTGTTTTTATCACAACAAGTTTAGTAAAGATTTGTAGCGCAGTCTGAAGTTGTCGGAACTCGGAAGTGGAATGGGTTTCTGACAAAATATGGTTTGAACTAAATTGTTACTATTTTGTTTGTTCGACGACGTGTAAAAATTGGAGTATATACTTGTATCATATGTAATCCAATTAAAAAAAGAGAAAAAAACTTGGCTTAATATCTAGTTATCTACCCCCACTAAACTAAACGGTTCCTGTTTAACCAAATAAACATATTGATATTATAATCTCAGGATTCTCCAACATAAGATATGAAAAATAATCTACTCGGACCCATGAGAATATATAAGAGGATCTTTATCATGGATCAATCATGCATGCTGTTTGAAATTTTGAAATTGTATATTACTAAATATTCGTATTGGTTTTCGATCGTTGCTACGTAACGTATGTTAAGGACATGGGTAATTTACAGTTTTAAAAAACTGAACTCTTTTCAAATCATTAGCATCTATAGTACTCTTTTTATCGGTCGCTTGGTTCAAATAAAAGAACCATGTGAAAGAGAAGAGCAAGTATAATAACAATGATGATTGTAACTTGTGTGGTTAGCCTAGATGCATGAAAAAACTTGTATATAATTTAAAAAAAAAACATTGTCGTAACCCGAAAAGGTAACAGAGTTCTCTATTGATCATCAAACTTGTGATACATTGAGTTGTTAAAGTTGTAATTATATGGATCACCATCAAGAAAAACCATGTAAGATTGCAATCATCGAATTTGACCAGGTAAAGAAGGGCAAGCCTCTCAGTGTGTGTGTTGTGTACAAAGTGTTTGGGGTTAGGACCATTCAAACCTCGAATATTATTTTAAAGAAGGAGAAGAAGAAGAAGACCCAAGAAAAGGATACGGCTGCAATCTTTCTAAATTTTCCAATTGGGTCCCGCCGGCATGCATACATTTGTCCCCACTGAGAATTCGTATGCCGGCTAATTTGCATTCCAATCGAGAAAAAAGAAAAAAAGCATACTCTGGAGACAAATTTATAATCTTTAATTTTGTCGCATTATACTATATCATTTATAACAATATATATAGGGTAACCAATATACAAATCGCCAAGTAATTTTCTCTTTTTGTTTGACTAATAATAAGAAAACCTAAAAATGGACACTACAAGTTTGATCCAAGGAACTGAAAATATTTTCAATAGATAATAATCTCTAAGTTGCTCATCAAAATGTAAGTGGATTTTAGTACATCTTTTTTTTTCTTTTTTTTTGGTGTGTGGCAGCTCGTGTTGTGAGCTATGTTCTCATTGATAGAAACACGTACATGGTACAAAAATAAATTAGCAGAAATTGAAATGAAAGGTAGAGGTAATGATGGAGTAAACGTGATAAGATATGACATGACCCCACGAAGAAGAAGAACAAATGAAAGTTATATATAAAATCTAAGAGGAAAAAGTACCTAATAATAGAAGAACAGGTTGTTCACCAAATCGGAAAGCAATGCTTTGAAGAATATATATATACTTTTATATATACGGAGGTAAAGCTGCAGAATTTGAATTTTTCTTACTTTTCGTTAACATGCATGACTTTGATCAGTAGATATGGTTGAATGTAGGTTTAGTTCAACCAAGAGTTTCACATTTCACCTATGTTATATTGGTGATCACTAAAGTATATATATATTGCCTAGCTAGCTAGTTTTAAATAAAATTATATGATTGAGATGATTTATCATTTTATGTAGTACATGTACTGACGTACAAATCACAAAAATAATCAAATTTATCGTGTCTATTTGTTGTACCAACACATATATAAACACGATCGACTGAATCAAGTGATATACACAGCATGCATTCACCAAAATTCTCTCTCTTCCATGAGTAACATGCATGAGAGCAGCAACAATAGAAAACATAGCTAGACATCATGATGATATTTTCATCGCCTTTAGCCATTATTCAGTCCCCCATTTACCTAACCCCACTCAGATTTCAAAACTTTGTTCCAGTTCTTTTTTTTTTGTTTTACACATTGGTCAATATCAATTTATTTTCCCCATCGACATATATATATAGTTTGTCTTTTGTGCACCACCTCATATATTGACCAAAGCTTGTAATCAACATGGTATCCGAATCATTGCAAGAACAACGAGTATTCACACTCTATGTAAATACTTCTGCACTAAAATATCTTTCTCTAGTAAAGTATGCATGCACATATTCTAAGACATGTACTAAAACTATTAATATTTTTCCAACTGTGCAATATTGTCAAATTAATTGACAAAATCGAATGTGAGATTCGTTTGCTTAACATATATTATTGCAAAGGTGGAGTAACAAATCATATTTTGAAGTTTTGAATTCTTGTATAAGAAATGCGGTTAAAAATGATCACATCTCACCAATAGATTTATTTCTAATGGACACACACTATCCACCCATTATTGCTCTTTTATCTTTTCTTTACAGTTGACTGTATTGAGTACTAAGTTTTCTCATTCCAAGTTTCTTCACTTCCTTTAGCTATTTTTTTTTTCCTTTTTCTTTTTCTTTTTAATTTTCGTTTTCATGCTTTATTTGGATTATTTAAATTTGTTTTTAACTTTTTTACTCACAACCCACCAAGATAAATAGGCAGCCACATGGTCTCTCCCCTTAATTCAACACATTCACAGTCAAGTCCACAAATATCATAAACAAACCAGAAAAATGAGTGAGCTTTCCTACTCTCTCCCCTCTTGGGATCTCCATAACCTTGGATCGCTCTTCAACCAAAACTTCAACCTAGGTATAGACAACAACATACATATTACTGATCTTTTTATATATCTATATAAATATGATGATGTATGTTGAGCTTGTTTGATCAAAATTATGTATGCTTTTTCTGAAAGATGAACGTATTTTGTGCTTATTAATTCAAGAAGATTTCATTAAAAACATATATACATACACACATATATAATGGAAGGACTTGGCCATGCAATGTACTTGTAGATGCATGGGGGCTCATTGATGAATCGCCGGAGCATATATTATGTTCGCCGGAGATCGATATTGGGGACTTTTCCACCGGATACCTTGAAGACGCACTCATCGAATTTGGTGGGAGAAGCAAACGGCGACGTCTCTCGTTCAACGGTGCTGAGGACATACCAAATCATGATTTAGACATTTCTCAGGTTTTTATTTGATTATACTACTGGTTATTTTCGTTTGTCATTTACATAACTATTCACTGTTTTTTTTTTCTTCTTATGAAACTGAGTTAGTTGATCGTGGTATATAATAATGCAGAATCATTGGGGCCTGTCGGAGAGTTATAGTTGCACGAGTAGTCAGTTTGCAGGTAGACCTACTTCTTTATTACTACCACCCATATTAATTTGTTTTTGGACTTAAATATTATTTATTTATTATTATCACATAAATCAAATATACATAGTGCTGTTTTAATATAATAGTAAGAAAATTGAATAATTTTGATGTTTAATTTATAAATTTAACATAGTGTTCTAATATTTAAACAGATGAATCGCCAAATTCTTCCATCAATATATGTTCAGAAGAAAAATCCTCGAATTTTTCAAAAAACTCTTTTGAACCATCCTCGTCCACGCCAAGTAAGTGTTCTGTATTTTCTTCCAAAGTTGTAGTGAAAGTGAAAATATACTTTTGTGTTTATGCGTATTGCCCATGTTCTTGTTTGTCCATTGGCCTTATATATGCGTTTATGCATATTTGATATCAAAAAATTGTGTTTCTAATCACATGTAAATTAAAGTATCTTAGCAAGTACTCTAGTTTCTTTTTAACCTAGCTGTATCATATTTACTTTTTATACACCCGGGTCGTCATTATAATAAACATGCACTATACTTAATACTTGTGCGTTACAGAGAAGAACGACAATGAGGAGAAGAAGAGGGTGGTGTATCCATTTGGAGTGGTGAAACCAGGTGGTCGAGAAGAAGATGTAACCCTAAATGACATTAACAAGAGAATTCTAATGCCATCTTCTCGGCCGGTTCGCCATCCAGTTGGAGACTTTGCATGCCGCCCGTGTGTCTCTGCAGATGGACCGGGTCTGTCAGGCAAAGCCGTGGTTGCTTTCACGAAGATACAAACACTAGGGAGTGGCACAATTACTATTATAAGAACTAAGGGATGATATATGTATTTGTAATTACGCGGGCTCGTTATAATGAGATCTCTTCTCGATATGTTGAAAAAAATATATTAATCACTGGTTAACATATTCAAACATATTTGTTGTATATAGTTAGAAAGATTGTTATATATGTGTGTTTTGCCTTTTTATTTAAACCTTTTCAAAAAGAATCAAGATTATCTTAGAGACTTAATTAATTACTAAACAAAAATAACAAAAAAGAACTTAAGAAAAACCAAGATTTTGTATATGATAGGGAAAAAAAAAAAGTCGCTTTGCTTTTGATTTATTATGTTTTTGTTTGCATGTTCGTCTTTTTTTGGTTCTTTATCCTTTTTCACCTTAGCAAACCCTTTTGTTCTTTAATTCCAAAACAAAAATATTCAGTAGAAACCAAATAAACAAACGAAGCGTGAAGAAGAATAGTCAGTAAAGAAATAAAAGCAAAAGAAAAAAAAATGTAGAAAAGCAAGTACACAGAAAAAAAAAAAGAACCTTATCATGAAATTTTCGAAGATGGTTAATATGATGGATGTTAAGCAGCAAATCATTGTACTTTCTTACCTATATGTTCAAGATTATTGATGATTATATACTGATTATTAATACCATACACATGCGGTAAGAAAATTAGACAATCATATGAAACAGAATTACATTAGTAAAATTGATGAAATCTAAATAAAATTTGAATTGAAAGAATAGACTGCCGACTGGTATATAGTTTATTATTTTTAAAGAGAAAAATCCAAAAAAATAAAATATATATATATCAAAGCTTCTACTATTATTTTGTTTAAGCAAATTTGAATTTCAAATTAGAACAACTCTTAACTCTGAAATTTAATTTCATACTAAGCCATCAATTAGACGTCATGTTTATGTAATATGACGTTTGTCGGCATTTTCTGTACTGGAAGGAAATAAAATAAAATAAAAGCTAAGCACTTAGTTTTATAGCATGTGGGAAAAAATAAAACATGTTTTCAGGTGGTTAGTGACGTGGATTGGTAAATTAATACTTAAATAAACAAATTGTAATGCTCGCTCTTATATATTTTTGTTCTTCAAATTAAATGGAATATTAACCACTAATTTCCCGGTAATTAACATTATTTTTTCCTCTCAGAAAGGATGCTTTTAACCTTAGTGGGTTGGGTCCATGTCGGTAGACCATGGTTAAATTAAACCAATGTTGAATAAACAACTAATATTTTGAATCTAATCTTTCTTCAATATTTCTGTATAAATTACTAAATTAGATACTTGTTATACCTCAGTGATTTAAAAACTAGAAAAGAAGCAAATTATGGTTTGTGTTCATAAACAAAAAAAATGGTTTGTATTCATGCTGTAATAATGTAATGAGGTCGTTGAGGAAAACTAATAAAATCATTGAAGACAACATGAACTCATCATGAAACTCTCTCATGATTAAAGTCGGTAACAATTAAATATGGACCAAAAATTGTAAGCCCAAGTAAAAAAAAGCCCATTACTAAATCTATATAAACCTTCACCGTTTTGGAAAGCTTTTAAAGATCACAAATATCTTTTGTCTTCTCCGTCCTCCGCTTCTTCTCCTCTTGAAAATTGACTTTTCTTTTCGCGGCGGTTCTGTTCCTTACCGGCAAAAGTACACGGTATGTTCTTCTTCTCTTCTTTTTTTTTGCAATCTCTATCCTAAAGCATAGTCCTTCACATAACGGATTCCTCTATTTGTTTTATTTCCCGCTTAATCAGATCTGTATTAGAAATTTGAATATTTGTTGGGTTGCAGGAACGTAACATGTTGGGTACTTTTAAAAAGATACTGCCACTAGAGGCTCCTCCTGCTGACGGTAATCTAGGACCGCTTCCTCCGTCGCAAATCACGGATGGAGAAATGGAAGAGAAGGAGTTGCAAGCAGAGCAAAACAATTCAAATCAAGCTCCGGTGGTGGTTACTGTTGATACTCACACGAATCCTATCGGGATCATCTATCCACCTAAAGGCATAAAAGATATCATCGAGAGAACGGCTCTGTTTGTTTCCAAATTGGGGTTGGTGTTTGAAAACAAGGTTAAAGCCGAGAAAGCGAGTAAAGTTAATTTTAATTTTCTGAAAAACGATGATCCTTATCACGCCTTTTACCTGCACAAGCTCTCTGAGTACTCTGCTCAGAAACAAGACGGAGCTACTCAGATTACTATTTCGGAAGATCCTGAAGCATGCGATGCAGTACCTGACCCTCAGGCTCCATTCAGGGTTCCTCCTAAGCCTTTAGAAGAACCTGAACCTCTCAAGTATACAGTTCGAATTCCTATAGGGATCATGGACGAGGAGCTTGATATTGTTAAGCATACAGCGCAGTTTGTGGCGCGGAATGGGGAAACCTTTTTAAGGGATTTGATGAGTAGAGAGATGAGCAATCCTCAGTTTCAGTTTTTGAAGCCAACTCATAGCATGTTCACTTTTTTCACTTCTCTGGTTGATTCGTATTCTCAAGTATTAATGCCACCCAAAGATTTTAAAGAAAAGCTGAGAAAGAGTGCTGCTGATTTGACTACCATTCTTGAGCGTTGCTTAAATCGTCTTGAATGGGATCGTTCCCAGGAGCTACAGAGGAAAAAAGAAGAAGACGAGGAAGAGAAGGAGAATGTGCAGATGGCTATGATCGATTGGCATGATTTTTCGGTTGTTGAGTTAATATATTTTGCGGACGAGGAAGATGAGGAGTTGCCACCATCTATGACACTTGATGAGGTTATAACAAGCAGCAAAGCATCGGTAATGGAAGAAGATGAAGTTGTTGAGTCTGCAGGAAAGGAGGAAGAAATGGAAATGGATGAAGAAGAAGTTAAACTTGTTGTAGAAGGGATGAGAGCAGCGAACCTTGAAGAGAATGGTTGCTCTATGCAGGTTGAAAATGCACCTATGAGGATTGTTAAGAACTGGAAGAGGCCAGAAGATAGGATCACGACTGAGAGAGATCCAACTAAAGTTGTTATATCACCAATTACTGGCGAGTTGATTCCCATTTACGAGATGTCTGAGCACATGCGGATTTCTCTTATCGATCCTAAGTTTAAAGAGCAGAAGGATCGAATGTTTGCTAAGATTCGTGAGACCACACTTGCACAAGATGATGAGATTGCGAAAAACATTGTCGGGTTGGCCCGCCTGCGTCCTGATATATTTGGAACTACCGAAGAAGAAGTCTCAAATGCTGTAAAAGCAGAGATTGAGAAGAAGAAAGATGAGCAGCTGAAGCAAGTAATATGGGATGGTCACACTGGAAGTATCGGTCGCACAGCAAACCAAGCCTTGACTCAGAACAGTAATGGTGATGTGCGAGGTGATGGTGTTTATGGAGATCCTAATAGCTTCCCTGGTCCAGCTGCTCTTCCTCCTCCTCGACCAGGTGTCCCAAGAGTCCAGCCACTGCCACCACTTCCTAATCTCGCCTTGAACCTCCCTCGCCCTCTTCCTACTGTTCAGTACCCAGGTGCACTGAGGCCACTTGGTGCTCCAATGATGCAGCCAATACATCAGCAACACCAGCTCTCGATGCCCTGGCCACCTGGACACCCTTTGATGATGATGAACCGACCAACACAAATACAGCCTGGTATGCATGTTCCCCCTCCACCAGGATCTCAGTTTGCTCATATGCTAGTTCCTAGACCTTATGATCAGCTTCCACTGCCTTCAATGGGGATGATGCAACAACTACCTATGCCTGGGATGTCTCCTGCATCTCTTACTGAGGAGCCTGAGCCAAAGAGACAAAAGTTTGAGGAGTCATCCCTTGTTCCTGAAGACCAGTTTCTTGCTCATCATCCGGTAATGTGTTTTTCAGACTCTTAAATCATTTTCTTATCCATTTTTCTTTCCCCTGAATTGTCTTACATGTTTTATACATTTTCAGGGTTCGGCTAGAATCAAGGTTTCTGTGCCAAACGGGGATGATAGGAAAGTCATTGAGATCACAGTGCAGTCGTTGTCCGAAAATGTGGGAAGTTTGAAGGAGAAAATAGCGGGGGAGACACAAACTCCTGCAAACAAACAGAAGTTAAGTGGGAAATCTGGATTCTTAAAGGACAACATGTCACTTGCGCATTACAATGTGGAAGCAGGAGAAATCCTAACACTGTCTTTGCGAGAACGTGGTGGGAGAAAGAGATAGACACCGTTTGGTTGATACAGGGAAATGCTTTTGAACCTCTTAATTCTTGTTCTTTATTCGATGTTTTTTGTTGGTGGCGAAAAGTATTTGTACTGCTCTGTAGTCTCTAGTGCAGGCCTCATTACCCTACTCGTCATATCTCTCTACTATTACTGACTTGAGTTTGTTTTGGATTTGCAGCTAGTTTTGGGGCAACGTTTTGCTCTGTAAACTTAAAAATAACATATTTGATACTCTGCTTTGTGCGTTGTTCACTTTGTTAAGCTTTTAAATGAAATCTTCTTCCTCTTCTTTGTAGGTACCATATGAGGATGCCGCTTTGCTTGTTCCCACATGTTGATCATTGTCGCAGGTATGCACATAATTAGAATAGCTATGATGTTAGGTGAAAGGTGAAACATTGCGAACCTTGTAGGATTTAAACATGGGTATTCTCTTCTGGTTATAGAAAAAAGTTCTGTTCGACTCTGATGCTGCCACCTCCAGAAACCATAACTCTTGTGTCGTCTAAGTTCTGTTTACAAACACGAGTTCAGAGCAGAATATGAGAAACGGATTATAGATAGTAGTATCCATAATGCAAATTTAACTTTGTAAGATGCTCAGATCAAGTTTTTGATAGGGTTAGTATACAATTAGACTTGTTGAAGGGATCACGAGCGAGTAGCTTGATATTATCAAGGTCACAGTACAGTCAGAATGGGAGATCGTTTCGTCAAGGGATTGATCACGTCGTAAGAGTATTCAGTTTTTTCACCGATTTTGTTGATGCATTAACTTATATGGAACTATTAATGCCTCCCAATATTTTGGAGCTGAATTATAAGAGACTCGAGGAACGGTGCTTATGCTTTCTGAATTCCTTGCTCATTATTCATAAAACCTAAACACCATCATCCATATGATTCGTATGCATAAACTTTGTAGATTTGGTTGTCTGGTTATAAAAAGAAAAATTGTTTAAAGTTCTCTGTTTAGCAAACCACTTTGAACAAGAAAAATCAATAGACGCTGACATTAAAAGCAAGTACCTTATAATGAAAATTGAGATGGTTATAATTGTAAAACAATAAATCATCTATATTCTTTAATCTTTTTCTGAGACAAAGTGGATCGATCTTTAGGAAAACAAATGAGTTTGCGTTTGAAACTTTGGATCAACAAACAGTCGAAAATGTCTAGTACACTGATTCTGATGTTGCTATTCAAAAGCACTAACTGTGTAGAGTAAAAATGAAAAACATGATTAGCCAAAAAATACTGAAGAAAGGTTGGATTAAACTACGTATTTCATTCAATTCACACTCAATGTTCATCTAATTTCAAAAGTCGGATCCAAAGCTTTCTACCGAATTTCGAGCCCGTTAAAGGCCCATAAGCCAACAGAATTAGAGTTTCGTTCATAAATCCTAGGGCTCATTTTCATTTTCATTTTCTGGTTTGGCTTCTGTAATTTTCTATCGATCTTCATCAAATCGTCTTTGTAAATTTCACATCTCGTGCTGATTCGCGCTCCGCTTCTTCCCGACGTCACGGTGGTTCTCGCGGCGAGGCTGTTCCTTACCGGCTGAGGTACGGTCTTTCTTATATCTCTCCAAACCCTAAGCTGTGCTTCTCCCCGTCGTCGATTACTTCTTCTTTTCCTCCTATCATTCTCTTTCTCTCGCATCTTAGTTTCTAGGATTTATACCTTCTCTCAATTGAAGTACTCAATAGTTTTTGCTATTTTTAGTTACTCTTTATCAATCCATTCCAGTAGAATTGGTAGTTTCTAGAACAAATGAATTAGGTCGAGATAAGTTAATCCTAAACTTTGATATATTTTGGTTGCAGAATAATGTTGAGTTCGATGGAGATATTGCCACTGGAGGCTCCTCCTACCGATGGGAACTTAGGTCCACTGCCTCCTTCGCAGCTAACAGATCAGGAAGTCGAAGAGAGGGAGTTGCAAGCAGAGCAAAACAACTCAAATCATGCTCCTGCGGCTGTTGCCACTCACACTAGGACTATCGGTATCATTCATCCACCTCCTGATATCAGAACTATTGTCGAGAAAACGGCTCAGTTTGTTTCGAAAAACGGGTTGGAGTTTGAAAAGAGGATTATAGCCAGTAACGAAAAGAATGCTAAATTCAACTTTTTGAAGAGCGTAGATCCTTATCATGCCTTTTACCAGCATAAGCTCACTGAATACCGTGCTCAGAATAAAGACGGAGCTCAGGGTACTGATGATTCAGATGGTACAGATCATCCCCAACTTGATGCTGCAGCTACTGCTGCCGATGAGTCTGAAGCAGGTGATGCACAACCTGACCTTCAGGCTCAGTTTAGGATTCCTCCTAAGCCTCTAGAACCTCCAGAGCCTGAGAAGTATACAGTTAGACTTCCTGAAGGGATCACAGGTGAGGAGCTTGATATTATTAAGCTCACTGCCCAGTTCGTGGCACGGAATGGGAAGTCGTTTTTAACGGGGTTGACGACTAGAGAGAACAACAATCTTCAGTTTCAGTTTATTAAGCCAACGCATAGCATGTTCACTTTTTTTACTTCTCTGGTTGATGCGTATTCCGAAGTATTAATGCCTCCCAAAGATTTGAAAGAAAAGTTGAGAAAGAGTGCTGCTGATTTGACTACCGTTCTTGAGCGTTGTTTGCATCGTCTTGAATGGGATCGTTCCCAGGAGCAGCAGAAGAAGAAAGAAGAGGATGAGAAAGAGCAGGAGCGGGTGCAGATGGCTATGATTGATTGGCATGATTTTGCGGTTGTTGAGTCTATAGATTTTGCGGATGAGGAAGATGAAGAGTTGCCACCGCCTATGACACTTGACGAGGTGATAAGGAGGAGCAAAGTATCTGCGATGGAAGAAGATGAAATTGTTGAGCCTGGAAAGGAGGTTGAAATGGAAATGGACGAAGAAGAAGTTAAGCTTGTTGCAGAAGGAATGAGAGCAGCAAACCTAGAAGAGAATGTTAAGATTGAAAATATACATGACGAAGAAGCACCTATGCGAATTGTTAAGAACTGGAAGAGGCCAGAAGACAGGATCCCGACGGAAAGAGATCCAACTAAAGTTGTTATATCACCAATTACTGGCGAATTGATTCCCATTAACGAGATGTCTGAGCACATGCGAATTTCCCTTATTGATCCTAAATTTAAAGAGCAGAAGGATCGGATGTTTGCTAAGATTCGTGAGACCACACTTGCACAGGATGATGAAATTGCTAAAAACATTGTTGGGTTGGCCCGCCTGCGTCCTGATATCTTTGGAACAACCGAAGAAGAAGTCTCAAATGCTGTAAAAGCAGAGATTGAGAAGAAGAAAGATGAGCAGCCAAAGCAAGTAATATGGGATGGTCACACAGGAAGTATCGGTCGCACAGCAAACCAAGCCTTGACTCAGAACGCTAATGGAGAGGAGCAAGGTGATGGTGTTTATGGAGATCCCAATAGCTTCCCTGGTCCAGCTGCTCTTCCGCCTCCTCGACCAGGTGTCCCAACAGTCCGGCCACTGCCACCACCTGCTAATCTCGCCTTGAACCTCCCTCGTCCTCCTCCTACTGTTCAGTACCCTGGTGTACTGAGGCCACTTGGTGTTCCAATGATGCAGCCAATGCATCAGCAACACCAGCTCTCAATGCCTGGGCCACCTGGACACCCTTCAATGATGATGAACCGACCACCACAAATGCAGTCTGGTATGCCTGTGCCGCCTCCACCAGGATCTCAGTTTCCTCATATGCAAGTTCCTAGACCTTATGGTCAGCATCCACCACCTCCAATGGGGATGATGCAACCACCATCTATGCCTGGGATGCCTCCTCCCCCACCACCCTCGGAGGCACCACCACCTCTTCCGGAGGAGCCTGAGCCAAAGAGACAAAAGTTCGACGAGTCAGCCCTTGTTCCAGAAGACCAGTTTCTTGCTCAGCATCCGGTAATGTGTTTTTCAGACTCTTGAATTTTCTTATCCATTTTTCTTCCCCCTGAGTTGTGTCTCACCTGTTTTATACATTTTCAGGGTTCGGCTACAATCAGGATTTCTGTGCCAAACGCGGAAGATGGGCCGCAAGTCATTGAGATCACAGTGCAGTCGTTGTCCGAAAATGTGGGAAGTTTGAAGGAGAAAATAGCTGGGGAGACACAAACTCCTGCAAACAAACAGAAGTTAAGTGGAAAAGCTGGGTTCTTAAAGGACAACATGTCGCTTGCACATTACAATGTTGGAGCAGGAGAAATTCTGACATTGTCTATGAGGGAACGTGGTGGGAGAAAGAGATAGAGACCGCTGGTTGACGCAGGGAAATGCTTTTAATCTCTTAATTCTTCTTTAGATGTTTGAATTTGGTGGCCAAAACTATATGTACTGCGCTTTTCGTTGTTTACACATGTTCTCTCTTGGCTCATCATATTTCTAATGTCTATGGAGTTCCAGACGAAGAAGAAAGATTATTACTGACTTAAACTTGTTTTGGATTTGCAGCTAGTTCTGAGGCAACGTTTTGGCTCTGTAATGTTAAAAAAAAAAGCAAAAAACTTATGTGATACTTTGCTTTACTTTTTGTCTTTCTGTGTTCTTACTCTGGTAAAGCTTTTTTAGTGTAGTTTGGTTTCTCTTCTCTGTAGGTATAACATGCGGATGCTGATTTACTTTTTTTCCAAGGGCTGATCATTGTTAAAGGTACGCAATTACCATTGTTAAGATGTTAATTGAAACATTGAGAACCTTTCTAGGCTTTGAACGTAGGGTTTTTTTCCTATATTTACTGTAGTTGTGGTTTGGTTTGCAAATACGCGTCACATCTCACTTTGACTTCTCTGGGCCTTACCTTAGACCGATGAATCAATGTATTTGTACATCTTATAGTCTTCTTACACACTTTAGTTTTTTTCTGGTTTTCTTATAAAAACTCATGTAGTCATCATCTAGTTTGTCTACAAAAGTTTTTGCAAGATTCGAATGTTCCAGAAATCAATTATTGTATCTATTTTTAGATCTAACATCTACATATTTTGAAACTTGTAACTTAGTTGGGCCTTCATGATAAACCCGAGATGAAGCTAATTTCCAAACCGGAATATCTAATTTCATTTTAACTGGGACTGAAGACTTCAGTCGGAAGTATGTCTTGTAAACTGTAAAGTAAAAGATAAACTGCGTTTGAACTTTGAAACAATAGCCGAAGACGATAGGGATTAGGGAGCCACCAAACTGCTAATTATAAGCATAAGCTATAAGTTTGCTTATTTCCTGTAATCTTTGTTGCTTAACAACGCTACACGAGTCATAACAGATGGGTAATCTTGAAACCCTGAGAAAAATAAGAGAAAGAGTAGAAAAACCAAGTCACATTAACAAAGTGGCTAATACATGAACTATTATAACAATTTTAAAATGCCCTCTTGAGTGGCTCTGAAATCATCGTCTTTGACTTAATTGAAAAACAAAACAGAGCATGGGGTTCTAATTTCAATCTAACTGGGTTTGGTTTGGTCCTAAACGTCCCTCAAGGCTTGATGGTTTCAAGAGAAGGTGTGACATAAGATGATCGGAGACATGATGAAGTATTTTTACGAGAAGAGAAACAAAGACAAGAAAAGAAGACAACTCTCACAACTCTTCTTAGAACTTGTCCTCTCTTTGGAACTAGACAAGCTTCTCTTTCACCCATCTCTCCCTCTCTTTCTAGCCGGTTTATTTTGGCTTGGTTTGGTTTAGTATGTTAGAGATGATGCTGATGATGATGTGTCTTGCAAGCTGGAACTGCCGACGTGAGTCTAATATAGTGAAGAGTTGGAGAGACAAAAGACCGCGTGAAGAACCTTAAGACGCGTTGGCTCGTTCTATATATATTTGTTTTTCTTCCTCTTGCAAATTCTTTTTTTTT